CGCATGGGATTGATTTTACCTAGGGGCCACATGCTATTTGTAATAATTACGGAGATCGTCTGTGTTGTTAATCCCGTGCAAATCGGCGATTTGTAAAGTAAAAATTTTCCCACAAATTACCTACTATATTTTGCTGAACTCGAAGGTCCAGTGATAATACTAATCCGATGCCAATAGGCATCTCTGTGATTTGGACAGAAATGGTGTGATCTGATATGTAATGAGGCATTTTTGTTTTTGTTTAAGCAAAATCATTTGGAAAAATATAGAACGAGGCTATTTTAAATGAACGCACTGCTCGCTTCGGCTTTTACGCTCTTACTTCCTTCACCGCAGATGACAGCAGGTGCGGAGACGCATGCATGATCAGCTGACCCATCCATCCATCCATTATCTTTACCCTCTTCTTCTTTTTCGGGTAGCAGGAGTTGCTGGTGCCCATGTCCAGCCATCACTGTGCGAGAGGTGGGGGACACCCTGGACAGGTCACAAGTCCATTTCAACCAGCGGGTCAGCGGACGTGTGGACGCTCATGCGTGCGGCCGGTGACAGGTTGTCCATATGAGCTTAACATGACGTTTTTTTACCTCTTAAACCGTCCGGTCGGACCTGCCTCCTCCTCAACAAGTAACACAATTTGATATTGTGCATTCTTTAGTTTTCTTTAGTGCTGATTCATAAAACCACATCAAAACCTGAGACCGACCTGGCCTGCACATTAAGCACATTATTATGGACCGGCCCGGTCGTGACAACGCAGCGCGTTAACATAATATACGGAAGATGTCCGTAAATTTCAGCTAAGTCTCAAACTTTAGTCATCCCGTGCGAATGCGCCACATAAAAAGCAGACGTTGGGGAGTAATTTATTTATTACATGTGGTCCCTAGGTAAAACGTTGGTTACGTACTGTAACTCCAGATTCTATGAATATAGGCGTAGCTCTTTAAGCGTCGGGCCTCACTGGCTCCTAAATGGTTGAAGAAAAAGCTATTTGAGAGCCGATTACCCGCTCTTAACGTAATTTATACGGGCCGGGTGGGGCCCACACAGCAGGTGGGAGTGGACTAAATTTTTCAGTGTAATGCTCTGCATAACGGGATAAAACCCACTAAGCGACAGCCTTAAAGGGCGAAGCCTATATGAAATAGAACTACTCCCGTGCGAATAGGGCTTAGTTGTTATCATCCCCATATGTAGCGTTAATGGCTGATAACATTCAAAGTGGGTAGAGAAATGACCACGTGCAAGTGATTACTTGATCTCCTGCCTTTCGTGGTGGTAGTTGGATGATAAAAATAACGGCAGAAACCAAAACTCTTCTTGTTGTCTCCGTCATTCAGTGTTTTTGTTGCATCACATCATGCCACAACAGGAAGTCAGAAAACTGCCAGTTTAAAACTCCCATGAGTCATTGCTTTGAACACAAGACAGTGACTCGTGAATATTTAATGCTTGCTTAATGATTCTTTTTACCATGTGTCAACCATCAGGGTTCATAAATATGTAATCTAGTTTTAATATTGGTTTTATTGAGACTGTTGCTCTGATATAGGCTATTATTTGCCACTATAATGAATGTTTCTGTGGTGATGAGCAATATTCTATTGTTCGTCACAACAGCAAGCTTATGAAAAGCTATAGCCAATATCATCCATCTGTTGGCTTTTGTAATGGAAGCATTGTCTGCTAGTGATTGTTTTGTAGGATATTAATGTTGAATTTCCTTTGCACCTGCTCAGTGTGAAGCTTTATGGGTTTAAAGCATCTTTAAGGAGCAAATCATTCAATTGATGCTGTAAATGACAGCTGGGCACAGCTGGGGACAGTCACACAGGATTTGACCTTTGAAATCGATTTTATTTTAAATATCCCAGCGGTTCCTCCACAACACCACCTACCTCCTCTTTGGTTTTCTTGGAGATGACTCTGAACCAGTCTCCGATCATGCTGAGAACTGCAGCAAAGTACGCCAAGCCAACCAGGATCCAGAACAACACCACAGGCTTGTAGTAATACTCCAGACTCTCTGATCTACCTGCACAACAAATACATGCCAATGTCAATTTTTTTACAGTATATAGCACACAAAAACAACAAAAGCCAAACAAAATGCTTTAAAATTTAGTCAAATTAAAATAAAAGCAATAAGAACAATAAACAAATATATCTTGTACCGCTCAGGAAGAACAAGAAGATTAATAACGAAATACAACAATAATAAAAATCAGGTATAATTGGTTCTCAAACTCTGCGTGGATCAAAAGCCAAGGAAAAAGATGAGTTTTGAGCACAGATTTAAAAGTCTCAGCAGTCTCAGTGGTCTTTAAATTATCAGGTAAAATGTTCCACAGTTTTGGGGCAGCAATCGCAAAAGCCCGATCACCTCTGGATTTCAGTTTGGATCTGGAGACATCTAAGAGGAACTGGTTGGTAGATGGGAGTTCTCTTACTGGAGTTTAGATGTTAAGAAGTTCACATAAATAAGATGGGGCCAGACCTTTAAAGACTTCAAAAACAAGCAATAAAATCTTCAAATCAATCCTGAAGTGGACAGGAAGCCAGTGGAGGGAAGCCAGGACAGGGGTTATGTGATCGTGTTTTTTAGTTGCTGTTAAAAGATGAGCTGCTGCGTTCTGGATGGTTTGTAAGTGATGCAGAGACGATTTCTCTAAACCAACATACAGAGCATTACAGTAGTCCAAACGAGCACTATTAAAAGTATGAATCACCATTTCAAGGTTGCTGAAAGGAAGACAAGACTTCACTTTGGCAATAAGTCTTAGTTGGAAGAAAGTGGATTACACAACTGCATTTATCTGTTGGTCTAATTTAAAAGTAGTATCAAAAATAACTCCCAGATTCTTGACAGCGGACTGGCTGTATGATGAGACCCTGTCTGACTTAATGGGCAGATACAACTGAATGTCATCAGTAAAGCAATGAAAGGGATGCTATGTTTTATAAAATTCGACCCCAAAGGCAACATGTGGAGATTAAAAAGCAGTGGACCTAAAATAGACCCTTGAGGGACCCAACAGAATAAAGGAGCTGCAGATGATGAACATTCCCCTAAATGAACAGAACAACTCATGTTAGTCAGGATCTAAACCAGGATAAAACTATGCCTTTGATACCAACCACCTGCTCAAGTCGAGAGTGAACAAATAACGGTGCGTCACATCATTGTTTACTGTTAAAATTAATCTTTTGAGAAGAGAAGCAAAGGAAGGCAGGATGTGTGTTTGTTTATGGTGATTCAAAGCAGTGAGCTAAGTAAAACTACCTTTTATCCAACTCTTAATGAGACTTGGTGTGTCACCTTTAGACAGTCGTGTCACTTTGTTGCTGTCTGGCCTGTAATTGGCCCGATGCTTTTGACTTAGTTCAAAGGACAGCTACTTTGTTGGAAAATATAAAAAGTAAGATTGAGGAGATGAAACAAAATTGTCACATTCAAAGCAGAATATTTAGGAAGTTTTATCTTTTCCCAGAAATCCAATTATGTGATCTCGGTGCTCTAAGCATGAAAATTCAGCAAGGTTCTCACTTTCCTGGAAAATAGTCCGATTATATGTAAAGACTTTCACTTCATGTCATTCACCACCGATCCTACTTAAAGAAAATGAAATTTATTATCTTGTCAAATCTTTTTCTCTGGAATCACAACTCGAGGATCACTAATTATAATAAGGCTTTAAAATGGGATGACATTTTGATAATCGTCTGATCTGTATAAATCTGCATTTAAAGCACAAAATATAGATTTTTATGCAAGTGAAATTGATGGTGGGGTTTCAGAGTAAACTAGCTTCGGCAGCAAATGCTTAAGTGGTATACATAGTGATCCACCACAGGAAGTGTTTAACTAACAGAAGTCGGGGCTAATTGGTTTACTGTAACTACAGGGCGGTTGGTGCAGGCGCTGTAATCTAATCTATACTCATTAGGCCTGCTCAGGGAAGTTGAATTTAGCAGCTAAGTGTTTGTGATGTTTCCCATCTGCCTCTCTTTTGTTATTTTCCAGGCAGGTCACCTCAAATTAACCACCTGCTACAAACACACACACACACACACACACACTTATATATGGCGTCTCCTATGTATCGATTCATTTTGTTTTCTAGATTCTTCTTTCTCACGTTCACCTTCTGATTAAACACCAACACCTGCTGTTAAATCTTTGTAATTTAATATCTATATGTCACTATATATTTGCAAGGATAAAAGTATTACTGAGCAAATATCTTTTTGCATTTGCATTTTACTCAATGCATCAGAGATGGAAGAAGTTTGCTTTAGAAAATGAGCTTCATTTGGTGGTAAATTTCCAGCAAGTTAAACTAGAAGTAATTTGAACTGGTTAAGGTGGTCATCTCACAGCAAGAAGATTCCACGGTCACTTCACGGCTGGGACCCTTCTGGGTGGAGTACGCAAAACAAAAACATGCATGTTCGGTTAACTGGTCTGTGTGAGTAAGAGTGAGAATAATTGTTTGTCTCATTCATCTCAATGTCTCTGTGATGGACTTGTGACCTGTCCAGGGTAGACCCCGCCTCTTGCACAGTGACTACTAAAGATAGACACCAGCCCCAGAAAAGAAAAAACACAGGTAAAGAAAGTGCAAGCCAGGATGAAGATAAACACGGTAGCAAGGAGCAGTGTTGAGCTACACATGGTGCTGTCGCTCCTAAAGCCCAAGAATAGAAGCAATAAGTAAATGTTGATTTAAAAAGCAGCTCAGTGTCTGATCCTTGTGCAGAAGTATAAGGCACAAGTTTGAGTCATTTTGCAAAAATAAAACCACATTTTTAATAAAAATATGCCAACTCTTATGAGTGACATGTCTTTGTATGTATGCATTTTTTTTAACAAGCTTCTGATTCTGCACAGCTCTGATTTGATAGCGTTGATCAGGCCTATTCAACTAAACTGCTCAGGGGGCCACAGTTACTGAAAGCCATGAGCTCAGGGGCCAGACATCCAGCTGTTAGTCAGAATTAAGTTTGTTTTATGGTTTAAAATCTAGTTTTATTTACAAAGAACTCATTGGTGGATTGAACTGAGTTCATCCGTGGGCCTGATTTGGCCCCTGGGCCGCCAGTTGAACAGCCCTGGCGTAGATGCTACTTTTTTCTCGAATCTAAAGTTCGGAAGTGGACATTTAGGAAGTTAGTGAAGCACAAAAAATCCTCTAACTTTTAAGATTTGAGTATAATTTTAAAACTGTAGATGATGTGCCGTAGTCAAGTTTTGATATTCTGATTTTTATGAATGAAACAGGTCATTCATAAAGCTATCTACAACAGGTATGATACTCATTGTTCATCACATTAATAGTTTCAGTTTAATTCAACAGCTCTCTTGTGTATGAACACCAACTTGTCAGAGGACAATCAAGTCTGTGATTTGTAAGATTTATCACGGTAAAAAAAAAAATCAGCTTAGAAAGTTCAGAACAGCAGTGAGTTTTAACGTTTGAAGTAGTGATTCATGTACATATAAAGGAAAATCATAAAAAAATAAGTTTATGAAGCAAAAGACAGCATGGTGGTCTGGTGGGAGGCTCATTACTGCTGAGCACTTCTTGAGTCAAGCTGGCTGAGGCATCACTCAGCTATAAATATTCCAGTTCTAATCGAGGTGGCAGACATGCAAATGAAAAAATAAAAAGAGATCACACACCCTCAGTTGAATTACTTTTTTCTCCGACGACAAAGTCCCCGAAGCCGATGGTGGTGAGGGTTATGACGACGAAGTAGACTGACTCGAGCGTGCTCCAGTCTTCGATGTACTTGAAGATGACAGCTGGCAGGGCCACGAAGATGAGGCACCCGAACAGGATGAAGAGCAGGGTCGAGATGACACGGATCTTCGTCTGGCTGACCTTCCACTTCTGAGGAAATAAAATATGTTCATGCATGACGCAAGCAAAAAATAATAAATAAATAAAAGAAACAATGTCTTGGTGGGAATATCAGGGTGAGGCTTCCGAGAATTCAAACACTCGGAGCTGACAGTAATTTTATTCTTCAACTCTTTCTACCAACACGTGGCATTTTCTGATATCTTAAACGTCAAACTGCAAAAGTTCAAGTGACGCAGCTTTCACTGTCAGATGGTGCGCCCACCCAAACAGGGATGACGGAAGAATCCTGTCACCTGCTGTCACAGCACTGTGTCGCACTGTTTCACGCTCAGTCAAAGCAGATATTCTAAAAGCTTCAGAATAATGGCAGTGTGTAAAACCTGCTTTAACTGTACAAATTGCAGCTTGATTTGAGCCCCCGCAGTCCTTTTCCGTCCTCGTTACTGTGCATTGAAACTTGTTCTGCATGCTACTGATGCCTGTGCAGCATTTTTTTTTTTTCTTGAGGTGACGGCTTTCAGCTGGTTCCAAAGCATCATGCCCTTTTCCTCGACAGTTATGTAAGCTCTGAGCACAGAGCCTCTGCAGGAGAATATAAGCAGCAGATCACCAAGTCTGTGATGTTTCTTTTTTTTTCTTGCACTTGGAAAAAATTTGATCTACAATGAAATGTTGTGTAAAATGGAAATAAGAACAGAATGTAATGATTTTAAACTTTCATAAACCCATATTTTATTTACAATGTAAGAAAGTAAACATGTCAAACGTTGAGACTAATTGGAACGAATGACCATTAGAAATAAGAAACAATTGCTAGTGTAATTTCCAGACTATAAACTGTTATTATTTTCACACGCTTTGAACGCAGCTCAAGCTTGAGCAGGAAGAAGATGAAGATAGTGATCAGTGACTTCCTGGTAGGCTTCTGTATTTTATTTTTTAAACCAGTCATGTTACTGGCACTGTTCAGAAAAAAAAAAACATTGACTGTACACATTTGTGTATGTTACCTGTATGTATTTAATTAAAAGTTTAAAACATATTTTGGTGTAAATATCTCATGTTACAATGTGGACACCCGCAGCTTATAGACAAGCGAGGCCTATACATGTATAAAATTATTGTTATTTTTAAATTTAGTGGGTGTCGCTTATAGTCGGGTGCGCTCAATAGTCAGGAAATTATGGTAATTGTCAACGACAAACTGGTTGATCCACTATGACAAGGTGCTATTTATAAGAAAGGCAGCTCCTGAGCCTGACAAAGTCTTTTGGAATAAAGGCGAAACGTTTCAACAAGTTTTTATTTTTTAATTTTTTGAATCCGTCCAGACGACCTGACTTAATTTTGTTAGATTTTTTTTTTTTACCTGGATTATTGAGCATGCATCAGGATAACTGCTAATAGAAGACTGTATGAAAATAGTATTTTCAAGAGGCTGAATCTCTCAAATAAAAATGTGCAGAGGTTCACTAGTCTCTGAAAAACTGTGTCCGTAGAAAGTGGAAAAAAATTAAATAATCCTTTTCAACAGAAAATTGAGAACACTTGGATTATCCTTTCATCTACAGTTCACAATGTCGTCAAAAGATTTCTAGAATTTGGAGAAATCTTTGAGATCAAAGAACAACAATAAGACCGTAGTCAGGGCTGTTTTTGTTTTGTAATATCATTGTCTTCCATTGATTTATTTCCATTTATATGTCTTCTTTTACTGTTGTCATCACTCTGTTAAAAACAGGTCTCTCTTGTAAATGAGTCCTCGAGGCTCAACGAGACTAATCTGTATAAATAAAGGTTGAATGAATAAAAAACTAGAATGCAAGTCAAGTCACAAATCACTGAACGCTGTTCACCGTGTCATCAACAAATGCAAATTAAATGCCATATGTATGTGACACCATTGATACAGAAGAAGCTGCTATCTTCTCTGGGCTAATTAAAATAGACTGATTTGGCTCATCTAAAATAATCTGAGGCAAAGTGGAAAACTGTTCTTTGGTCAGATGATTAGAAATGTTAATTTTTATTTTATTTCTTGGAAACCGCATCTGCCATGTCCTCCATATTAAAGAAAAGAGGGATCCGTGTTAGTTTGTTCCTCCTTCCTGTCCGCTCAAACCCAGCCGGTCGAAGCAGATGGCCGCTCGTCCTGAGCCTGGTTCTGCTGGAGGTTTCTTCCTGTTAAAAGGGAGTTTTTCCTTTCCACTGTTGCCTTTGTGCTTGCTCAGGATGGGAGACTGACGACGTGAAGATTCAACGCAATCTGCTGGTTTCCTTAGACAAAAAACTTTTACTAATTGGCTTTTTTTTATGTATGTGAATGTTTCTGTTCAGTGCCCTGAGATGATTTCTGATGTGACTTGGCGCTATATAAATAAAATGAATTGAATTGATTATTCAGCTTGTTATTAGCACACAGTTTAAAAGCCTGCCTCTCTGATGCTATGGGGTTGCATTAGCATCTATTGCACGAGCAGTTTACACAGATAGAAAAGCACCATAGAAAAGCATGGACAGGTTTGAAAACAGAATATGCTTCCATCAAGCAACAAATCATGACCAGACCACATTTTTGAGATGTGTTGCTGCCATAATGATTAATATGTTTCATTGTGAATAAAATATGAATTTATAAAAGTTTTGTCATGATTGCATTCTGGTTTTATGCAACATCCCAACATTATACTAACAAACAAATCAAATTAAATCTTACCAGACCAAAATGAGTTCAAAACCAAGCATTGCTGTATTCCAGGGGGACAGATGAAGCTGATGTTGCCGTTTGGCATCTTGACTACACAGCAGTACTTTTAACTATTCATCTGTTGCTTTTGTTCAAATGACTCTTTGACCTTCTTGTTCGTCCACAGGGAACAACAAACCTGTGAAGAATCAATACCAAGCAGCTGCTGAGGATCTGGGTCTAGTGAAAAAGCTTTAATACTGAAGCTGGAAGTTCTTGAGCTGAAATCAGTCACTATGCAATACAAACAAGTTAACAGTTAGTGTGTGAAGAACATTCTGTGAAATTATGATATTAGGACAAACATCATAATTAAAAAATATATATATTTTTTTCTTTTTGCCATTTAAAGGTTTCACAGCCCTTAGTTACTTAACATGAAGCAAATTTCATCTGATTCCATTTAGCACAAAAGACAACAAGAGCATCCAGCATCAACGTGTGGCACGGGGGCTGCACAGCTGCAGAAAGAAAAGCTCTGCAGAGAGTGGTGAAGGCTGCACAGAAGTCTGTTGGAGTCAGCCTCCCCACCATCACAGACATCTACACCTCCAGATGCAAGAAGAGGGCCACCTGCATCATGAAGGACCCCACTCACCCAGCACACACACTTTTTGCTCCGCTCCCCTCGGGAAGGAGGATGAGGAGCATTAAGTGTAGAACCACCAGACTGAGGAACAGCTTCTACCCTGAAGCTGCTAGAATCATAAATCTGTAACCAGGATAATCACTGTAATGCCACTTTAATTGGTAATATGTGACTTATCTCTGCTGCTGATTATCCATGCTGCTGCATTCATTCATGCCCATCTTCTCACCACAGACTTGTGTTCAGGCTGCTGATATGACATATTGTTTTACATTAGTAGTGTTTAGCGTATATCTTAGATCTTTTAGCGTATCATTTGGCATTTGTTTTAGCATTTACCTTTGTGTATATCTTAGATCTTTATTTACGGTTTCTTTTTATACTTCATATTTTGCTATTTTTGGGACCCTATACACATAGCTTCATTCCATCTCATGTACCACACAAGATGGTAATGATAATAAAGTTTACTTGAACTTGAACAACCCAAATAAAAAAAGCCTGACTCCTGTTGAAAAACAGTGCATTCAGCCTTTAATCTTTGGTCGAATGACTTCACACCAGTCACTTTTATTTATTGGCTACAGCTCCCGTCTGTAGTGGTGGCACTTAAAATGCCATAATAAGTCATAATTTCACTGTAAGAGTGAGCACCAACTGGGAGATGAAATGAAATGTGACAAATCTGCAATCAGAGGGTCAATGTTCAATCTCTGAAAATGTTGTTCACCACAGTGTTTTGGAAAGCTGAATGTGTTCCCCTCCTGCTACAACAGCATGAACGCTCAAGAGCCTTTAGACTCCCACATTTATTTTATTTTACTTTTATATAAAAAAAAAAAAAATTCATTGTAAATGAAGTGAAAAAAGTATAAAATGTCATTTTTTCTGGTTTTACAAGAAAAAGTTCAGACTTAATCTTGAAAAACCGATGGAAAATGTTGGTTAGATACAGTTTTTGTTCTTAACGATCAAATGATTGAGTTACAATGAATTGAAGATTTATTTGTAAGGATGAGCCCCTTAAATATTTGAACATATTTTAATTCCTATAAACTGCACTGACTTGTATAATCCATTTTCATTAAGGCAACTGTTGAGTAACTTGCACCAGTAGTTCAGATACTTTGCAGGGAGATTCTATGGAAAGGTTATGAACAGTGAATACCTTACCTGCTGTGGATAACTCTAACAAGCTAACGGCTAATTTGAACATGGCCAGGACCAAAGCGGATTGCTGAAGTTTTAAAACGCATTATCTAAAAAAAAATTGTAGTAGTTCATATAAATGCACTCTTTTTAAACTTCACATTAATTTCCTATTACATGGTTGGTCAGATGACCAAAAATGCTTGTTGTAGCAACTAGCAGTTGAACATGTCAAAGATTTGTGTTGTTTTTGTTGCTGTATTTGTCCTGTTTGTGTTTAGCCAAGCACTTTTTCGGTTCTTGTATTTTCATGTTCCTCAGCTCCCCGACACTGTTCTGTTGATCACACCTGCCCATTCATTTGTTAATTAGCCCAGCTGTTTGTCATTCATTTATCATTCCTCCTGATTCTTTAAACTCCCAAATCCCTGCAGTTTGCTGTCAGATCTTTGTGTAAATGTCTCCTGTTCTGTCCTGGGGGGTTTGGTGCACCTGTTTGTTGATTTAGTTTTCTTTTAGTACATAATTATAGATTTACTTGCCTGCCTGCAGCCTGGTTGTCTTCCCTCTTGGGTCCAAACCACCAAATGTTAAAGTGTTCTCAGCCCAACCTGGGGTACTCATAGCAACATTATTATATTTCTACAGAATAAATGCGCACGAAGAAAATGAAAGTCATGTAAAGGTTTCTAAAATAGTTTTAATTGACTGCTAAAATGTTTTTATTTTTAATCAGCATTTTGTTTTGCTCTAGGCACTCTGATTACCTTATAAATCCACTAAACTCTTTCACCAAACTGTTTTTACCCCTTAAAAATAGCTGAACTATCACTTTAAACACAAAAGGGAATGCATGATGTTTACTCCAATGAAAGCTGTTCTTCGTAAACAAATGCAATTTACTCAAATAGTTTTCCTTTATTGAAATAAAATGCAGTTTTGATTGCTCTTTATTCGTCTGTTGTCATGGCAACACTAAACTGTACACATCAGTGGTCAAAGTCAGAGGCAAAAAGCAAAGCTTGGGTTTGTGATCTTGAGTCTTCTGACTTTACTGTTGTCACTGCCTGAATGTGACAGATTATTGCACCCTGCTAAATGAATCAGAGTGGGATTTGCTTCCCTCTCCATCTGCTGATCATATGGTTGGTTTGGCTTCCTGGTTGAAGAGTAGGCGAGGGCAGCAGGGAATAGTGTGCACCTGAATGAATTAGTATGCACCAGCCAGCTAAATGTGGGCTTTTTGTTAGAATCAGTGTCACTGCTCAAACTGGTGATCTGGATATATTGATACAAAGTATATTCTATTTTTTATTATAGAAGACTTTAAAATCAAATTTAACTCATTTTCTTGTATAATCCCCTTTTCTGATGCTGACGGAGACAAATACAAACTCACTTATTCAGTGTTTCTCACCACAATCATCTTCTCCACTCTGGCAATGCCCTTCCCAAAAATAGTTCCCAACTGGTCCCCGACGCCAGCCAGCAAGAATCCGAACAAGGGAATCCCCAGCAGAGCGTAGATTATACAGAAGATCCGCCCGCCTTCTGTGTGGGGAGAGGTGTTTCCAAACCCTGAAAGAAAAGATGCACAGAGGATCAAACAGCAGAACATTCAGCTGTTCAGCTCTTTTTGCTGGGACGTGCTGGTCAGACTTTGGTTGTAACCTCAAGGTCTTTGCATCTCTGCTGATGTTATGTTTTTTTTTTTATTTTTCTTTTTATTGATTCCCCCCCCCCCCCCCCCCCCCAGAACACACACACACAAGGAAAAAAAATAATCATACTACAAAATCCCCTCCCACACCGGCTCAGCCACACAGACATAAATATATTAAGCAGGCATTGACGTACTTTCAACATTAACAAAATGGAGGCCAAGTGCTCCAAAATCTCTTAACAGAACATCCTGATGCATGATCAATAATCCAGACTGAAGAAGTCTTTCGGATGAAAGACGAAACGTTTCTACACTTTTTTGTTTTTGTTTTTTGAACGTCCAGAGGACCCGACTTAACTTTTTTAGACTCTTAACAGAACTTTTCAGAGTATATCTAACCTTTTTCAGATGAAAATGATACATGACTTCTCTTATACAGTGTTCATATGTCGGGGGTGTGCATCCTTCCACATGCATAAGTTAAGTCTCCTGGCTAGAATAAAGCCAAAAACAATCATATTCCTCTCATACTTGCTGAAGGATGCATCCACAGGGGCCACTCCAAACAATGAAATGAATGGTGACAGGTACACAGTTTCTCCACATTTCCCACAGAAAGTATAAAAAAAGGAATGCCAATAGGCCTGCAGCTTTGTACAAGTTCAGAGTGTGTGTAAGAGCGTAGCTGGAGTTTGTTTACAATGATTACATGCAGGGTCCAGGTTGGCTTTGATCTTGGACAGCGTGTCTTTGAACCAGTGCAGCCGGTGCACCATCTTGAATTGAATTACAGCGTGTCAGACAGAATCAGGATGAGTAAATGTTCTTAATGATCTTTCTTCAGGTTGAGCCTGATATGGATTCCTCCAAGTCTGTTTCCCATTTCAGTTTAAGAGTCCAAGCTAGTCTCATGGTGTGAATTGAGCAGTGTATAAATCTTTGCTGAGGGCCCCCCTTAATATCAGATCTGTAACGCATATTTTGAAGAACAACAAAACTTTGTGTGATGCAACACAAAAAAACTCAGGAAGTAACTCCCTCCATTATTCACTTTGTTATGAGCTCCATGAAACTGAACTTCTGACAGACAAGAAAACTGTTCCACAAAGCCAGACGGAGCTATAAATGCCATTAGACAGAGAAGAACGGGTCTGACATTTCGTTGGTGGGAAGTGAAGCCGTGTAAAGGCTCTGACTCACACTTGAAATTATAGTTTGTACCCATGACTCCCAAGCAACACTGACATGAATGAATTTTTTTGAAGGACTCTGCTAGTTTTGTCTTTAAACCCATTTTCATCCAAAACCAGGCCAACCTGTGTTAAACAAACGTCTTTAGAGATGTGCAGCTCCCACAAACCTGGCTTAAGACAACACGCACCATCACTTTTACTCGAACAGCGTGTGCATAATGAACTCCATTCCACTTTTCTTCATTAATGCATCCGCCTGGCACTAATAAAAAAGAAGCTGCAGAGTACATTTCAGACTGGACCAGAGTGACATGTGAGAGAAAATTGTCAATCAAGTCTAAATAATTATATTTTATGATTGGTTCTGCTGGAGACGAGATGTCGGATGTGTTTTTAACACCTCCCCGCTGAGCAAATGACAGACAGGAACTTTCTAATCGGAAGCTGTACTTAATTATTTATTTTTAATTCGTTGAATTAAACTAATCCATTATTATTCCTATTTTCATCTCATTTTAATTTGTATTTCTGTTTTGGTTTCAAACTAAAAGCATGTTAAAGTTTAGTAAAAAGCAAAACGGAACGAATATTGTCAAGGAACAATTTTTAGGGTGAATTTAAAATGTTTATCGCCTGCTGCCATGGACGTGTGTTGATTGTAAGAATAATATCTCAAGAACCAGTGGATGGGTTCAGAAAGTAAAGTAACTGTTGGACGCACATCTACAACTGAAGGGGCTGCCTGCATCGTGAAGTATCCCACTCACCCAGCACACACACTTTTTGCTCTGCTCCCCTCAGGCAGGAGGTTGAGGAGCATTAAGTGTAGAAACACTAGACTGAGGAACAGCTTCTACCCTGAAGCTGTTAGACTCATGCATCCCTAACCAGAAAAATCACTGTAATTCCTTTAACTGGAAATATGTGACTTTATCTGTGCTGCTGATTATCCATGCTGCTGATTTCTTACCCATAAACTGCTGTATTCATACCCATCTGCTCACAACAGACTAATGTTCAGGTTGCTGTTTAATACACTATATTATATTATTATTGTTTAGCGTGGATCTTAAATCCTTGTAAAATGTTTCTTTTTTATACGTTATATTATTGCTAATTTGGGGTGTAACTGGGATCCTGAGTACACAGTTTTGTTCCACCTCATGTACCACATGTGATACGATTGACAATAAAGTCACTTTGAACCTTGAACTGATTTGATTTTGAGGTGAATTCAAGATGGCTGCAGCAGTTAAATGACCTTAGTAAACAAAAAATAGCAATAACAGCCCATTATACAAATATAGAGCTAAACTTTGGTGTGGTAACATACACGCAGTTCTTGCAAGGCCGTTGTCTGAACCGTTAGCATGCAGGGCGGGGGATCTGCAGTCCTTCATGGAATCCATCATGGCAGGTCTTAGGCCCCCCTTGCTCCACATGTTGTTTCCTGACAGGACAGGAAGTTCTTCGGTAAGTTTCACACCTGACTACATCTCCTCCATGAATAATGAAGGAATTTTCACTTAAAAAGGCTCCAGTTCAGCTCATTTATGACACCGTTTGGTGTGTTATGTAACAATCACATGCAATAACGCAGCAGGCTTTGCTCTATTTGATAGAAAAAACACAACTGTAGTCAAGCTCAGAGTTTTCTGTTCAAACTCATGAGGGATGTCACAGAGAGAAAAACAAAAGTTTTACAAAAATATTGCTTTCGCCAGCTTATTTCAAACCGTACTAATCTGTTGTGTGAGTGTCAGGATTCAGTGTTGTTTTCCTGCTTTTGTGTTTCCATACATGTTTTGCACTCTTTCTATACTGAGGTATTTTAGCCATTCACAAATACTGTAAAATCTTTCAGCTTATTCATGAGATGGGTGCTGGGATTTTTGTAATCCTTATACTTCACAAAACATGTAACTTTACTTACAAATACTGTATGTCTCCTGTAGAAATGCATTGAAATGTCTTCAATTCCAAAAAGTGTTCTCTTTGAAATCTGCTTCAGCATCCTTGCTCTATTTTTCTCTTCCTATACAACTTTAGCTATCATTCTGCTACTTTTAGCATTTAGCTAAAGATTTGCAAATTTTAGCCACTGACTTTGCTAATTTTATTTTAGTTTGATGCTTTTCATATTTTAGCAACTTCTTTTGTTGCTACTGTTGGCTATCGTTTTGCCACATTTAGCTTGAGGTATACATTAGCAATTTAAATCATTTAGCTACTATTGTGTAAATTTTAGCTACTGCTTTGCTAACTCTAGTTTTTAACTAAAATAATGCAAATTTTAGCTTTATCTATTGTTTTGACAATTTAAATTTTTAAATACCATTTAGCACATTTAGCTTATGTTTGGTTGTGGATGACCTTCGGCTACTACCACCCCAAATTTTAGCTCAATATTTAAAATTAACAAAGTTACAGCCATTTTTGTTTCCTGAAGTCAGTTGGCAGTGGAGACCATCTTGAGTTGTGTTGACACTAAAATAAATCCATTGTAAAGTTACATGTAAGCATTATTTTTGCACTGTTAATAAACACAGCCCATTGGCTCCAGAGATATTTTACTAACAAATAATGTTTATGCTGATAGTTAATGGCAGGGACAGGATGCCATTAGTTAGTGCTCATAATGTGTTGGGGATGACTCAACTACTCCCACACAAGTTTTAGCCTAAAATCTGTAAAAGTGACAAAGTTTTAGCCATTTTTTTGCTAGCTAACATTGATTAGCTGCGGAGGTCATATATAATTCTGTCACCTCCAAAATGTAATCAGCTGTAGAAGAAAAGCTAATGATTATTTTCTAAAAGTTATATTAGAATCCGTCCATTTGTTTATTAGATGTTTTGCTAACAGACAGACACTTTAACGCAGACAAAAATATTATTTGTCTTTTGGCAACGGGGGAAAAAACCCATCTATGCATCACCTATCCCAGGGGAGTGATACCCTGTAAGACACTTCTTCAGCTCTCAGGGGAAAATAAACTTGAGCTTGAAGGAGCAGCTGATCTGACATCATGCGTTCACCTTATTTCCTGGATTACGGTTGGGATTGTCTTTTATTGTTTGGATCTAATGATGTATTACTGCAAGGACCAGTCATAATACCAGATGCTCCATAAGTATATGACCTTAACAACAAATCTGACAAGTCTGTTAAATGAATGTTCTTTTTTTAATGTACTTCTCTGGTTCAGCGCTGACATAAAATAACACTCACGCTTTAAAAATGGCTTCTCTGGATATGATTTATGAACACGACACCTCAAAGGCAACAGAACAATCAGGCAAAAATGATGATTGTCTACACCCTGAACAGCAATTATATGCTGTTTATAGTACGAACCATTAAAAATATAAAGCACGAGACAAAACCTGGGGATGAGATTTCTGCTGCTAAATCAAAGCTAACCACACCGGTCGTAGTTAATTTCAGAGCTGATTTGGCCTCTGCTCGATATTTTCAAAAAGCCTTTCTGTTCCCCATTTTCACCTGATACACTAACACTTCTAACGCTATTATGAAGTGATGCTAATGTGCTAAACAGTTTCCAGGTTTAGCTGCATCAAAAAACATCTGTGATGACTCTTTTTTTCTGTAATATTCATAATTAGTCTATGAGCAAAACGCAAAATGAACACACGTTGTTGGAAGTGTGAGTTGTTGTCAATTTTTGTAGTTTGGTGTAACTTTTGCGGACAGCGAGTGTAAGTACAGGGTGGTGGAATAGCTTAAGTTATTATTATATGGATTATTTTTACTACGATTGTGCCAAAGTTTGGGATGTTGTGTAATGTGTAAAAACAAACTCAAATAATGATTTGCAAAACTCACAATTACTTATTTTATTCACATTTGGAATGTATAGTAAATACAGCAAATGTTTAAACTAAGAAACTGTACTATTTTTAAAACAAAATAACACCATTTTGATTTGTTGGCAGCAATGATATCAATATAAACAGGATTATCTTTGCCCATGTGAGGCATCAATCTTCTTTTAACAACAGTATGTGAACATTTATGAACTGAGGAGACTAGTTGCTGGAAATTTTGGAGCAAAACATTATTCCATTGCTTAATGGAGGATTGTATCTATTTAACAGGCTGTTGAATAGATAGAGTTCATGATGCACCGGATGTTTTCAAAAGATGAAAGGCAGGTCAGTTCAGCATCCGGACCCTTTTACTACTAAGCCATGCTGTTGTAATGGATGCAGTTGTGGTTTAGCTTTGTCTTGCTCAAATATGCAAGCCTTGCCTGAAATGAATGGATGGATAGATAGATAGATAGATAGATAGATAGATAGATAGATAGATAGATAGATAGATAGATAGATAGATAGATAGAT